ATACTCTCTCCCACACTCACACATATATGTAATTTTAAGATAAAAGAAAAATTTTAAAAAGTATTAAGAAATCTCATGCCTCAATTGTCTTGTGAACCCTAAGAGAAGAACATTTCTTTGTTAAGTCATCTTCAATGACTGAGTTTTCCAATCGCTGAACAGAGGTACCAAAGTCAGTGGGAAAAATAGCATTACAGGCCAATGAACAATGCTACTAGCTTTCTTCCATGGTGATTCCTCTCCCGAAGATGGAGGAGACAGAGGTAGGGTGCACAAATCATTTTATTTATTTCTTTAGCTTAAAGGATGTTATTTTCACTTATGTCTATTTGGGTGTTAGTGTGGTTACATGTATGTGTGTGCGTCTGTGAGGATTTGGGATGTTGGGGTTACAGATAGTTGTGGGCCTCCCCATATGAGGACTCGGAATCAAACCTGGGTCCTCTGCAAGAGCAGCCAGTGCTCCAAACCACTGGCCATTCGTCTAGCCCTTCTGACTTTGTTAATATAAAATCAAGGGTCTGCGACCAAGTATAAAAGAGAAAATGTCAAAGTTCCTAAAGCCAGAAGTGGGAGAGAGGTCAATATTACTATTGACCTTGCACAGGAAACAAAGATTCTAAGGCTACGATGAGGACTCATGTGCCAGAAGTTAGAGAAAGCACCTGTACAATATCAGCAAACTCACAGGAACAGAAGATGGGAAAGCTGATACAGGGGAAAACAGAAAACCTAAACAAACGTACACCAACAAAGACAGTGAACTAGTAATAAAACCTTTCCTACTACACAGACCTCAGGCTTCCCTGGTGAGCTCCACCACGATTTAGAGCAGAGCTGACACAGATCCTTCACTGACTCCGTCAAAACTTCAAGGCGGAAGAACCACTTTCAACTTATCCTATAAAGCTGCTCCTACCCAGATGCAAAACTAGACAAAGCCTTCACAAGAACCTTAATGCATATAGATTCAAAACCCTCAACAGAAATCCAGAAACCTAAGCTTCACAACACTCCAGAGGATGCTATGTCATGACCAATTAGGTTCCATGGCAGAAATGGAGCTTGACCCAACACGTGAAAACCAGTTAATTGAAATATACTTGCAGGAGGAGGCCAGAACTATAGAATTTTTACCAAGATGAGCAAAAGCAGTAACCCAACTTTTAATGTATTTCTTTTTTTTTTTGAAGTACCCAAAGAACTAGGAATAGATGTGAATATGTGACCACCTCACCTTGACAGAAGTCATTTACAGAACACCCACACTCTTCACAGAGGTGAAGGGCTGAAAGTTCCTTTCCGAAGATCAGAAATACGATAAGAGCTCTTCTAAGACAACAATGCACTGAAGTTTCTAGGTTGGGGGAGGGGTGAGGAAACTAGCTCACTTAGCTCACTTTGTGGCTGAACCTGTTTGGGAAAGTCCCACAAGAACACAGAATATCAGGGCTAATTAGCAATGCTAGAAGTGTTACAGGCTAGACCATTGACATACAAGAGTCAGTTGCCTACCTGTGTGCTGACAGGGAATGAAATCTGAAAATGAAATTAAGAAACCATTTTCATTTACAATGGCGTCAATTAGAAAAATGCTCAAGAATAAAATTAGGCAAATAAATGAAAAGGTTTTTTTTTCCTGGCAGCTGTAGAACAACATTGAAATTAACTAAAAATAATCTCAATAAATAGAACCATAAATTGAGTTCCTGAACTGGAAACCAAAATATTGCCAGGACAAAGCCCTAAAATTAATCCACACTCTGATTCAATCACCACTAAATTTCCAATTCCTACATTTTCCCCCTTGGAAATACTGATACCTTCCTAAAGGTAGGAAATAATATAAGACTGACAATTCGGAAAGAAACCATTTTATTTATAGCCAGTTAATTATAATGTTGTCGAGATACCCCAGTGGAGACTGGAGAGTCTTTCCAACAATTGGTATGAGACAACAAGAGTCTTCATGTGAAAACTAAAGTTGGATCCTTTGGTCTCACCATGTATACCAATAAAATAAACTACAGATAGAAGACTTAAGCTGTAGGGCAAAACTCTTAACACTGTGTATGTGTGTCAGTTCTCATCACCGCAGCAGAATGGCTGGAATTACTGACAAGGAGACTTAAGTGGTAAGGACTGGTGTTGGCTGATGCTTTCAGGGAATGCGGTTTGTCATAGTGGGGCAGCGTGGTGCTGTTGCATAGATTTGGTACCAGAGGTTAAGTTGTCACTTGTTCGCAGCTTGGCCTATCAGGAAGCACAGGGAGCTGACTCTGTTAGCACACAGTCCCCAAGGTCCCACCACAGCATCCAAAGTGGCATCACTTACCAGAGGCCAAATGCTCCATGAGCCTATGTGATGCAGTTCCTGTTCAAACTGTGACAGGATGAGTCCATTTATGTAACATGTTCAAAACAGGCAAGTCCATAGACCCAAAGGGGGGTTAGTGACAGCCTCTGGCTGGACCAAGAGGGGCTAGATGACTGCCAGTGGGTATCAAGTGTCTTTCTGGACAGTGAAAATGCTCTGGATTGGACAGGGGTGAGCCTAGTGCACTTTTGAAACCATCTTAAAAGCCATGCACTTTAGTTTTAAAAGACGGTAGTATTTACTGGAGTGGTAGCCACACCTTTAATCCCAGAATTCAGCAGAAAGAGGCAGGTAGATCTCTGTGGGCTGGAGGCCAGACTACTGGTCTACATAATGAGCTTCAGGCCAGGCAGGGTTACAGAGTGAGACTATGTAAAAAATAAATAAAAGCATAAAGAAACAGCAAAAAAGTAAATCTTGTGGGATGGGAATCTTGTCGAAGTTAAAACAAGAACGAATATGCAGGTGTTGAGAACACTGGAAGGGTGTCTTCAGATCACTGACCTCTGGACCACTTGTCCCTTCAACGTTTTTGTTTCTTTGTTTGGGTTTTCACTCTACAGTAAAGCAAGCTTACATTACATGTACTTTAAAAAACAGAAAAGTAAAAATAGACCAAACAAACTGCGCAGTGTCCTTGTCTACAGATTTCTCAGATGACAGGAGGGAAAGTGGTCAGTAAACCTACAGACCTCGGTCCACATGCTGACATGATAGACAAAAATTTCTGCCTAAAAGTTCAAGTTGGTAAAAAGAACCAAGGTATCTATCAGAGGTTGAGTAGGTTCAGGGCAAAGGCCAGGTGTGGGGGTGGGGCATGGGAATCATGTTTAAATACATTTCTAACAGAGTGTCTTTGTCCCTGGTGTACTCGTGGGGAAGAATTTAGGAGTTGAAAACTGAAGAAAGAAAAAGACAAAGAAGCAAAAAGCCTGGATGCTAATTTAAGGGTCTGTTTCAGCATTTATTTCTGGATAAATCTTTGTAGTGTTTAGAGCTATAGAGAAGAACTTTCTAATTAATGTGATTTTTGATTAGCTGGCATTTCCTCAGAATTATTTGTCTTTCAGCTTTCAGGACACCTGCCACATAATTACAAAGAGAATGAGAGTCATGCCTCTACTTGATCTTGGCAGAAGGACTCAGGAAGTATCAGGAGCAGAGTCCCCAAAGACCACCCTGGGTCACCGCTGAGATAACAAACCTGTGTTTGTCTTTCTAGGTGGCCTTGGGGAGGTTCTGAGACCCAGACTCTTCCTGTGGTTTTGAGGCAGATGTAGTGAGGGTGTCAGGGCGGCCGCACCGACAGTGCCTCTCAATGTATGGAACTGAAATGTAAGTTTTACAGGAGAAATAGGAACTAGAGAGGTGCTCCAAAGACAAAAATAGCATGGTCAGAATCTGTGGGATGCTCACGGTGGACTTGTACAAAAGATTTCCTGTGTTTGAGCTCTGGAAACAATTAGATAGAACATTTGTGGCTTTATTCTAGTTTTTATTTTTGAGTACCCAAATGAACACATTTTTCTCTTACCCTCCTCCAGCCACCAAGCTCAGTTCAGGAGCTGTCTCTTGCCTCTCCAACTCAAACCATGTATAGAATATGACACCATGAGCCTGATGTTGCTGGTTCTGGGGAAAAGACTGGCAAGGTACAAAAGCCAAGAGTAGCCTTGAGTGTCTGCCCCTCCTCTAAGGTCGGCTTGGCAATGGGAGGATGATTTGGATGCTGAAGTCTGAACAATGGTCCACAAAACACAAAAGACCTCCAAGGTTTGGAGCAGAGTTGTGCTGATACTAGTCTCACGTGAAGCTCATCTCTGGGTACCAAAAGGTGTAGTGTAAACTGATCTTTGCAAGGGGGTAAGAGCTGATGGAAACGATCTTTGCAGGGGGTAAGAGCTGATGGAAATCTCTATCCTGTTCATAATAAAATAGAGGAGGGGTCAGGTGTAGTGATATATTATTTACAATTTACTAAAGTTTGCCTGAGGATTCAGAAAGCAAAGTCAGCCACAAGCCATAGAAGCCAGGCACACATCTTTAATTCCAGCAGCCAGAAGCTAGGAGGTGGTGGTACACACTTTTAATCCTAGGATTTAGGATTAAGAGATAGGCGGATCTCTGTGAGTTCAAGTCACCAAAATCTACAATGAGATTAAATCGGTCTAAAAGAGTAACAGATCATACATACCCTTTAGTCCCAGCACTAGAGGGGTATAAAAGATAGAAGCAGGGTCCTCAATAGTCACTAGGAGGCATTGATTCTCCAGGACACTCTGAAAGACCCCCTACCAAGGACCCCCTAGGAAAAGAAAAGCAAGGCCAGGCCATTGCCTAATGAAAGAAACCCAGACCAGGTGCCTCGCCCAGCTGGCAGGATGTCAAACAGGATCTGTGGTCACCAGAGCAGTCATGGGACCCGGATAATAATTGCTGAAGCTAGCCGGGGTCTTTCATAAAGTAATACCAGGAAACTTAGTCCGTGGGAACTACCCCTGCCCTCAAGATGAGCCAATGAAATGCCTGTTACTTATGTAACCATTGAAACTCTATAAATATTGTGCTCCCTGCAATCCCGGTATGCTCTGCACCCGAGTTGCAGTAGTATCTGCAGGCGCCTGTGTACTCAATAAATCACCTCTTGCATTTGAAGCCAGTGGTCTGGCCCCGGTTCTTGGGCAGAGGGTTCGGTTCAGTGCCCGGCGCTTTGATGCCTAGGTCTTTCAACTCAAGATGAGAAGGCTTAGTATCAAGGAGAATAGGCAGACATTGAAATCTCAGGATTCTCCAGCCACACTGGGGAGAGGCAGCAGTCTGAGGCTTGGTGAAGAGCTCGTGTGTGGATCAGCCCTTTCAGCCTGAGCTTGAAGTAAGAGCTAGTGGCCAGCTACTTTGCTTTTCTGTTCTTCAGCTTGAACCACAGCATCAGTCTCTGGGTCTTTTGTTTATTGTGCAACATTCTGGAGAGAAGGCTTAGCAGGCAAGAGCACCTCCTGAATCCACATGGTTGTATTGGCTTCCATGGATACTGCATGCATGAGGTTCACAGACAGACAGACATGCAGCGAAAAACCTCCATAGAAACAAAATAAAAATAAATCAATCTTTAGAAATAAATGGAGGCAAACCCATCTGCAAAACCATATCAAATCAGGAGCCAGCATGTACGTGCCCACGAACACATACAAAGAAATCTCACGAAGCTGTAAGAGCTGAACATAAAATTTCTTGCAAACTTTGCCTTCATTTGGCTCTCAGGGCTCTTTTTTCTTTCAACTTCCATCTGCTGCATCAACCCACTAGTGTGTTAGGTCACCATGAGTACTTATCGTATATCTGCGCCCTAGGAACACTGTCTTAATAGGGAAGAGGCTTCACATTTTATTCTCTAAGGATACAGTTTTGTGACTATTTAAGGCAAGTCCTTTAGTGGTCCGGAACCTCAATTCCCACATCTGTAAGACCGATGACTACTCAAGTATTTCCCAGGCTTGCTGAGTAAAGCAATTATAAAAACACTCAGCAATATAGAAACACACACACAATAATGTAGAAAGGTTATTTTATCAGGCAGCAATCCACACTTCAGAAAGTTCTGTTGCTGAGAACAAGGGGTGCTCCTTTGTAGAGCTCCAAGGTATATTCTCATTGCAGAATAGCCCTGTAGAGGTGCACTAGGTATAGGGTAGCCTGGGCTCACAGGAGTGGCAGAGGTGGAGAAGAATCTCCTCCATGTGGAGAGAGAGAGAAAGAGAGAGAGAGAGAGAGAGAGAGAGAGAGAGAGAGAGAGGGAGAGAGAGAGAGGGAGGGAGAGTGTGTGTGTGAGTGTGTGAGAGAGGGAGAGAGGAGAGAGTATGTGAGAGAGGGAGGGGCGAGAGAGGAGAGTGTGTGTGAGCGAGAGAGTATGTGTGAGAGAGAGGTAGAGAAGGAGGGAGAGTGTGTGTGAGAGAGAGGTAGAGAAGGAGGGAGAGTGTGTGTGAGAGAGAGGTAGAGAAGGAGGGAGAGTGTGTGAGAGAGAGGTAGAGAAGGAGGGAGAGTGTGTGTGAGAGAGAGAGAGGCAAGATTGTGTGTGAGAGGGAGAGAGGGAGGGAGTGTGTGTGTATGAGAGATGGAGAGGAGAGAGAAGAGAGTATGTGTGTGTGTGTTTGAGAGACAGACAGAGAGAGAGAGAGAGAGAGAGAGAGAGAGAGAGAGAGAGAGAGAGAGAGAACAAAATGGGGAACTGAGTAGGGACTGAAGAACAGGATGGTCTTAGTGACGCCAGCTGCTAACTAGAGATTGAGATTTGGTTCCACTTCAAGGTGAAGATAAGGTACCCAAGACCCTGTGATGGTCCCAAGAGCCCCGTGAAATCAAGTGACCTTTCTCTTTCTTGTAGTAACCATGCATGCTAGTCCATCTGCAATAGAAGAAACAACACGAAGAAAGGTTTGTGTGGCTTGTAGTCTGGGAGGCAGAAAGTCTGAGATGGTATGACACTGGCTGCTCCGTCTCCAGTAAGAACTGTCTGGTGGCAATTGTCACATGTGACAGAGCAGCACGGAAGGAGATGGGTGCTGGGAAAGGAGGCAAGTGTATGGGTTGCAATGGGCTCTGCTGAAAGCTACCCCACCCTGAATCCTTTCTGAGGGTGGGCCCCACAGTGACTTGATCATCTTTCAGGACCTATGGTGAACTGACCATCTTCAGTTGCCTCAGTAAACTGGCCAACTCCTGTGACCCAGTGAGCAGACCACTTTCCATGGACCAAGTGAACTGATCGTCTTCCATGATGCCCAACTTTCTGTTGGGTCCTCCTCCATTTTTAATGGTTTTATTTATTAATAAATATATCATTGACATTTTCAAATACATACATACATATGTATGTATATGTATATAATATGTTTTGATCATATTCATCCCGTTACCCGCTCTTTTCTCCTTCCCACTTTTGCTGGTCTTCAGCCTCTTCCCAACCAGTTCTCTGTTGCTTTCATGGATTTTACTTTTCATCACGGTTACTTGCAGGGGCTTGGGCGCCTTACCAGAGGCTATACCACCAAAGGAAATGTTTCCTTTCCCCAGCAGCCATTTCCTGTTCGAGGCCTTCAGGGAGTGGTAGCACCCCAGGAGCCCTTCCTCCTTAACTGTCTATACACTCTCTAGGGAGGGGACATCCCTATGACCTCCTTGTCTACTCTAACAGAATATCACTGGGTCCAATCTTGTCCTGGTCCTGTGTAAGGAACAAAGCATCTGTGAGTCCCTGCCATGTGAACTCTTGGCAAACAAACCACATCCAAACCTAGGATAACAAAACACCAAAGTAAATGAATGAAAGAAACTAAAACGACTTGTTTGTATATCAAATTTTAGGTGTAGATTTCTATCTTTTTATTCCAAATTTTCTGCAGTTTGTATATTTATTTATATAATTATAAAAATGAATTTAAAGAATAGTTTTGGGTTGGGAATAATCTAATAACCCCAAATAATCATGATAAAATAATCATGACACTTTAGAAATCAGCTAAAAAGATAGAATAAGGATTGATAAAAATCAACATTAAAAACATAATATATTTAATATATATTCTTATAAATATAATAAATGGCAAGCACTTTCCGACACAACTAGCCCCAGCCCCTTCCACTGAAGGAGTTGTGTCTGTAAGAGATTTCAGTAGTGAGGATCTGAAAACTTCCTGCTTCAATTCCGCTTTGGCAAGAAAGCATTTCCGACTGGCTGCTAGGTAGACCAAGATCATTGTCTGAAGTGGCTAACTTTGTGGTTACTGTGTGGTCAGCGTTCATTGCCTTTTAGTTCTGCCCCATTCAAAAGGAACCCCAAGCTATGAGACCTCTTACAGACATAATTCCTTCAACATGAGGAGGGAGGGGCCAGGGCTAGTTGTGTCAGGAAGTGCTTGCTATACAAGGAGAGAGGACCTGAGCTCAGATCCTCAGCATCCATGTAAAAGTCATATGCAACAGCGTGGGCTGTAAACTTAGTGCTGGGAGCATCATCCATGTAACAGTCATGTGCATCAGTGTGAACTGTGTTAGTGCTGGGAGCATCCATGTAACAGTCATGTGCGTCAGTGTGTGCTGTGTTAGTGCTGGGAGCATCCATGTAGCAGTCATGTGCATCAGTGTGTGCTGTATTAGTGCTGGGAGCATCCATGTGACAGTCATGTGCATCAGTGTGTGCTGTGTTAGTGCTGGGAGCATCCATGTAGCAGTCATGTGCATCAGTGTATACTGTATTAGTGCTGGGAGCATCATCCATCTAACAGTCATGTGCATCAGTGTGTGCTGTGTTAGTGCTGGGAGCATCATCCATGTAACAGTCATGTGCATCAGTGTGTGCTGTATTAGTGCTGGGAGCATCCATGTAACAGTCATGTGCATCAGTGTGTGCTGTGTTAGTGCTGGGAGCATCCATGTGACAGTCATGTGCATCAGTGTGTGCTGTATTAGTGCTGGGAGCATCCATGTAACAGTCATGTGCATCAGTGTGTGCTGTGTTAGTGCTGGGAGCATCCATGTAGCAGTCATGTGCATCAGTGTGTGTGCTGTGTTAGTGCTGGGAACATCCATGTGACAGTCATGTGCGTCAGTGTGTGCTGTGTTAGTGCTGGGAGCATCATCCATGTAGCAGTCATGTGCATCAGTGTGTGCTGTGTTAGTGCTGGGAACATCATACATGTAACAGTCATGTGCATCAGTGTGTGCTGTGTTAGTGTTGGGAGCATCCATGTAGCAGTCAGTCATGTGCATCAGTGTGAACTGTGGTACTGCTGGGAGCATCCATGTGACAGTCATGTGCATCAGTGTGTGCTGTATTAGTGCTGGGAGCATCCATGTGACAGTCATGTGCATCAGTGTGTGCTGTGTTAGTGCTGGGAGCATCATCCATGTGACAGTCATGTGCATCAGTGTGTGCTGTGTTAGTGCTGGGAGCATCCATGTAGCAGTCATGTGCATCAGTGTGTGCTGTGTTAGTGCTGGGAGCATCCATGTAACAGTCATGTGCATCAGTGTGTGCTGTGTTAGTGCTGGGAGCATCCATGTAGCAGTCAGTCATGTGCATCAGTGTGAACTGTGGTACTGCTGGGAGCATCCATGTGACAGTCATGTGCATCAGTGTGTGCTGTATTAGTGCTGGGAGCATCCATGTGACAGTCATGTGCATCAGTGTGTGCTGTGTTAGTGCTGGGAGCATCCATGTAACAGTCATGTGCATCAGTGTGTGCTGTGTTAGTGCTGGGAGCATCCATGTGACAGTCATGTGCATCAGTGTGTGCTGTGTTAGTGCTGGGAGCATCCATGTAGCAGTCATGTGCATCAGTGTGTGTGCTGTGTTAGTGCTGGGAACATCCATGTGACAGTCATGTGCATCAGTGTGTGCTGTGTTAGTGCTGGGAGCATCATCCATGTGACAGTCATGTGCATCAGTGAGTGCTGTGTTAGTGCTGGGAGCATCCATGTGACAGTCATGTGCATCAGTGTGTGCTGTGTTAGTGTTGGGAGCATCATACATGTAACAGTCATGTGCATCAGTGTGTGCTGTATTAGTGCTGGGAGCATCCATGTGACAGTCATGTGCATCAGTGTGTGCTGTGTTAGTGCTGGGAGCATCATCCATGTGACAGTCATGTGCATCAGTGTGTGCTGTATTAGTGCTGGGAGCATCCATGTAGCAGTCAGTCATGTGCATCAGTGTGAACTGTGGTAGTGCTGGGAGCATCCATGTGACAGTCATGTGCATCAGTGTGTGCTGTATTAGTGCTGGGAGCATCCATGTGACAGTCATGTGCATCAGTGTGTGCTGTGTTAGTGCTGGGAGCATCATCCATGTGACAGTCATGTGCATCAGTGTGTGCTGTGTTAGTGCTGGGAGCATCCATGTAGCAGTCATGTGCATCAGTGTGTGCTGTGTTAGTGCTGGGAGCATCCATGTAACAGTCATGTGCATCAGTGTGTGCTGTGTTAGTGCTGGGAGCATCCATGTAGCAGTCATGTGCATCAGTGTGTGTGCTGTGTTAGTGCTGGGAGCATCCATGTGACAGTCATGTGCATCAGTGTGTG